AGTAATGATGATGATGATGATGATGATGATGATGATGATGATGATGATGATGATGATGATGATGATGATGATGATGATGATGGTGATGGTGATGATGATGATGATGATGATGATGATGATGATGATGATGACTTCTCACTAATTACCTCTTGCTTGACCTAGCTCACGCTGAGTAGCTCCCAGCCCGCCTGAAAGACCTCTTTTTTGAGTCCCTTTCTTCCCGTTAGGAAAAATCTTCGAGACGAAACATTAAGCCCTTTTAATGACCTGTTTTCCTTATTTACATTATTGACCCGAGACTACTTCCCTTCTGTGCCTTCTCGTCACTAATAATGATGTAGCATCAGTGGCCTAGTGTTTAGGCTCTTGGACATTCAACCGTTAGGTTTGAATCCCGTCAGGGGCCCAACATTGTGTCCTTGAGAAAGGCACTTTACAAGAATTGTCCTCTCTTCACCCAGGCGGGGTGATGACGACGATGTTGATGATGATGGTGGTGGTGATGATGATGATGATGATGATGATGATGATGATGATGATGATTCTCTCTTTTGGACAGAATAATTGCCTGAAGAGCAAAAATGGGTCTTTAACGAAGAAGGAGATGGAGCGCTTTCGATCTATCAGAGATGACTACGCAGAAAAGAACAATGTGGATACAGATATCGAGACGGATTACGAGGTGAGATACAGGGTGTCCTGGTAGAACATTCAAATACAATAAAAGAAAAAAAAATTATTTCCTCAGATCCCCATTTTGAGATACATTGCTCTACAATGGCATTAATTCTCACATGAATACATACTTGTAGTAATTTGTAAACTCACACAATAACTCATCAATACCTTTCCAGAACACGCCGTTGCTGATGGCCAGTGTACTGCGTTCTGTCTTTGAACGACGGTTAACTTTTCTTCCTCAAAGGTCATCGATCACCCACCAAAACGCCATGTTACTGACATATGATTGACATCGTTACTGTCACTGAAGCCCCTGCTTTCATTGTTGCATTAGGAAAGATTTCATTCGAGGCATCATGTCCCATCTAAGGAACTCTCCCCCACAACAGTTGAATTCTACAGAGTCCGAGGCAAATGTTCAAATTCATTTTGAAAACACATTTTGATTAGATAGTCATTCTTGTTCATACTATTCGTGTGATGTCCATCCATTGTGCTGTGTTAGTATGAATGTTTGGTTTTGTATGCATGACCACTCATTTGTTTTTGTTGTGGGTTTTTGTGGGGGTTTTGCATTGAGATGAAGTGTTGCACTGCAATAGACGCTATAGAGATCGTTATTAAGACTATTTACTACCGTATTGCTAGAGGTAACATGACATTGGGTGTATGACCTTGAGAGGGAGTGAGAGAGAGAGGGGGGAGAGAGAGAGAGAGAGAGAGAGAGAGAGAGAGGGAGAGAGAGAGGGAGAGAGAGAGGGAGAGAGAGAGAGGGAGAGAGAGAGAGAGAGGAGAGAGAGAGAAAGAAAAGAAAGAGAGAGAGGGGGGGGTGGTCAAGAACAGATCTCGAGTTTCTTGAGTAGCTATTGTTTAGACTCTCCACGTCCATTCACAATATCCATGTATTTAAGGTCTTGTTTTTTGGGTTTTTTTACTGTTTCAGAACGATCTGATAGCTCACACTGAGTACTCCGAGGCCCTGATTCAAGAACACAGAGAGAAAAACCTCACACATCTCACGGTAGACGCATTGAAGGAAAGTGTCATACAGCTGAGGAGCCGTCATATTGAGCGTTTTCACCAACAGCTGAAGCGACCAGAAGGGGCCAGATCTCGAAAAAAAAGAGCGGCTGTTTTTGATCAGCAGTCTCTGGACAGGTAGTGAACTACGTTAGATTAAATTCGAAGTGTTGCTGAAAGTGCAGCGTTAGCCCAGTTGGTATCATGTTGAACTGCAGAGTGGATGGCCCTGGTTGGAATCCCCGACGAGGCGCTCTGGAGTTTGGTTGTTTTGGGGAGTTCTTAAGATTCTTCTCCCGTCTGGCTTGGTCATATCGGGGATTGACGTTGTGTTGTGGTTCTGTTTCCAAAGTTTGATGTCCAACTAAATAGGTGCTGGTCAGATAATAGTATTCTCACATGGATCAGAATAGATTCTATACATGAAAACAATTGCCTTCCTCAATTTGTCGTTTTTATTTACTTATTATCCCTCTGTCTGTCAGTCTGTCTGTCTGTCTGTCTGTCTGTCTGTCTGTCTGTCTGTCTGTCTGTCTGTCTGTCTGTCTGTCTGTCTGTCTCTCTCTCTCTCTCTCTCTCTCTCTCTCTCTCTCTCTCTCTCTCTCTCTCTCTCTCTCTCTCTCTCCCCTCGTGTATAAACTCTGCGTAAAATAACACATTAACTAGCAGCAATAGAAAGAAAGAACACCCCTTTTGCCATCGCCAATTTCATTGTATAAGTTCAACGCCCCTTTTGCCATCGCCAATTTCATTGTATAAGTTCAACGCCCCTTTCAAAGCTGTAAGATTAAAGGAAGGATCTACTCTACGAATGTAACGTCCATCTCCAATAGCACACAACCAAATGGGTGATGAACCATTCAAACGTTGGGTATTGGAATCAAGATAGTCTGCTTTGTAGTCCAGAATGAGCTAACGGTGTGCTCTTTTAAAGAACTTGCAGCAACACCCGCAGTCCCATTAATAACAGCACGAAGCTAGAGATAACTTTTGAATTCGCCTCTTATTTATTCATCGCCGCCGGTGAGTTTAGATATTGCTTGTATGGTAATAATGATGCCAAGGTCGCTTTTAAGGACAAGCGGGCTAACCCAGGTTTCGGGGGGGGGTTCCAGAAATCTTGACCTACACCAAAAGTGGGCACTGCCCTACCTATATGAAAAATTTGGTTTCATTGGTGTGTATATGTCTTTGGTTATAGAGAAAACCCTCCTTGTCTTTTAAAAAAACTGAACAAGGGTCCAAAAACCTTACCTTCGAATTTCTCAAAACCGCATTTTTGGGTTAGCCCGCTTGTTTTTAAAAGCGACCTTAAATTATTTGACGCCTTCAGGAATAGTTGGAGCACGTCTGGGAGTTAAAGAGTATTCCTGCATTTCATAAATATCAGTTTATATGCATAAAAAGTAATTGTCAGCTACTTTTTTTATTTTACTTTTTTAATATTGATTTTAAGGATTTGAAAGTGTCGATTTCCTTTCTCAAACAGACAGCCCGATAACCGACAACGCCGTCGATCTCACGACGTCTGACCTCGTGGAGACAACCTTTCGTGTTTGCAAAACACTGTCCTAACCTTCATAGTCTCAAGCTCTCTTTTATTTTTTTTTTAACCTTAGACCCTCAAACTTAGAGGATTGAAGAAAAAAACGAACTACTTGTACAGTGAAACTTCGGTATAACAACATTTTCCGTTCGGTCCCAACGTCTTGGCTGGCCGTTGTACCAGTTAGCCAAATAAAATGGCGGTGACTGCCGAAGTTACCAAGTACTATTTATTCACTTTATCAATCACCACGTACGCGTGCGCATGTGCATAATGTGTTTGTGTGAGGGAGAGACATTTTTTGGTCATTTTCTTTGTTCTCACAATGTACACCTGATCAATCCTTGAAAAGAGAACGTTATAGCGAAAAGTACGTTTGATAATGGCACGTTTTAGATATCGCCTCTAAAGAGCAAAGATACAAAATGGAACGTTACAGCCGAGAGCACGTTTTCAGCGGGATCAGCACCGGCGGCAGCTGCAGCAGCAACAACAACAACAACAGTAGCAGCAGCAGCAGCAGTATTGTAGACAGCAAAAGGGGAAAAAGAGAAGTCTTTTATCATTTTCGAACAAATAAGGGTAAATAACAGGAACAAAGCCATGTTTAGTACTAAAACTGCTTTCTGATTCGCATCGTATAAGCTGTGTCCCCATCACCACCCACACATTGACCACCATCACCATTATGCTTATCGCCACCATCTCCACCATCACCACGAAACGAAAACATTATTCATGTAAAGAATAAACCATTAACTCCGCAAAACATGTCCCCCGTCAGAATGCTGAGGATTTTACGCCAGAAGGAGTCTGTGACAGCTAGGACGTGTCATCACATGCCCACCCATCTTCTGGAGCTCCCTGGAGACGTGGGCTATGGAGCAAGCACACAGTTCGAGCCAGAAGGACGAACGGCGCTGAGGTTGAGCAATTTCCTCTCTATATATCTACAGGTCAGTACAGATGAGGTATTAGATGAAGCCTGTCTGCACAGAGATCTAGATATCTCGAGATTGATGAATGCAGTATTAGTTTTTCCATTGCAGTGTTGGCTGTGCCATGCCTTTTCTTGACTTTTGGTTTGTCTTTTCTTTAATCAATTTCTGCTTCCCTTTGTTTTCCTATTTCTTTAATCTCAGTTTTTGCCCGCGATTCTCTCTCAATATCTCTCTCTTTCTCTCTCTCCCTCTATATCTGTCTATTTATCTATCTATCTATCTATCGATCTATCGATATATATTTATCTCTCTTTTGCCCTCTATATCTATCTAAACCTGTCTCTCGACTCTTTCTCTCTCCCTCTCCTCTCCCTCTCCCCCCTCTTTCTCTGTGTCCTTCTCTCCCTATCAGTCCATCTCTCTTTCCCTCCCAGGGTGTGTGTGCGTGTGTGTTTGTGTTTGTGTGTGTGTGTGAGTGTTAGTGTATGTGAGTCCGTATCTGCATGTCATTGGGTCTCTTTCTCTGTCTCTGTCTCTATCCTATTGTCCATCTCTTTCCGTCTCTCCTTATCTGTCTCTGTCTTCTCTTTCTTTTTCTCCCCCCC